CTCAGGATTGTCTGCACATGGCACCTCCCTCCAACACCCTTCACAATTTACCTGTCCAGCTCAGCACTTTTAATTTTGCCCATGACATTTGGCCCGGCCTTTGATGTTAATTGTGTCATGATGTTACTGTTCATTGTCTTATTGTCTTGCTTGATGGTTTATTATTTGCTTATGAGTTTATTGTGTATTGTATGCTGTGTTGTCGGCGGCCTTGGCCATTGTGAGCTGCATCGAGTCCTTCGGGAGATTTTGCGGGGTATAAATAAAGTTGATAATAATAAATAATAATAATAAAGGCGGAGAGGAGACAGGATGAGGGCCAGGGATAATTATGTGGGAGGAAGACCTAGGGAGGGGGGAGCAAGCTTCCTTTCTGCTGCCCTGGAGACTAGGACGCAATGGAGCCATGGCTTCAAACCACAAGGCAGGAGATTCCACCTGAACATGAGGAAGAACTTCCCGACTGTGACACCTGTTCAGCAGTGGAACTCTCTGCCCCGAAGGGAGTGTGGTGGAGGCTCCTTCTTTGGAAGCTTTTGAACAGAGGCTGGATGGCCATCTGTCGGGGGTGCTTTGAATGCGATTGTCCTGCTTCTTGGCAGAAAGGGGATGGACAGGATGATGGCCCACCAGGTCCCCTCCATCTCCAGGATTCTGTGACTCTCCCCCTTTGCCGCACTCCTGGACCACCAGTGGGAGTTTGTCCCCATCCATCCCTCCATCTTTGCTGGAAGGAAGAGACCAAGACCCCTCAGTCTCTCTCTCCTGGAATGAGCCCAGGCCTCCTTCTCCCTGACCCATGCCCTCCGCCTGTCCCTCTCCACGGGGTCACGCCCCTTCCTCGGCCCCTCTTCTAGCTTGCCTCAGAGTGGCCGGGCCTTCCCATCGCTGGGCAGAGGGGGGGGTGCCCTCATCCGTGCCCCTCGCCCAGTCCCTCACCCAGCATCCCCAGCAAGCCACGCCCTGCTCTCGTGAGGATCCCGACCTTTCCTACCTCACCTCTTTCAGTCCCAAGATTCCTGGGCTCTTGGCAAGACCACCACATGGGGTGAAGTGTCCCAACAATCTCCTCGCGTTTCCAGTTCACTAGAACTTCCCCCAGACCTCGGAGAAAGCCTCTCTGGCATCAAGGAGAGAGAAGAGACGTGGTCAGAAAATTAGGAGGGATTTCTTGGTTTGGGAATATCTTGATTTCAGGAAATTCTTCATGGAACCACGGTGGCGCAGGGGGTTGGACCCTTGTGCCCGCTGGACTGCTGACCTGAAGGTTGCCAGTTTGAATCCGCAAGATGGGATGAACTCCCATCTGCCAGCCTCAGCTTGTGGGGACATGAGAGAAACCAGCCTGGCTATGGAACACCTTCCCATCCAGGACTACTCAACCCAATCCACAAGCCTGGCCCTCCCTCCCTCCCTCCCTGCCTGCCTGTTGGGCTTCTGGCCTTGTAAAGTAGCTCATCTCTTGGAATCAACACTCTTGAGTTCTGACTTTTTTTTATTTATTGGCAACATTTCTGCCCCGCTCTTCTCAACCCCCGAGGGGGGACTCTGAGTGGGTAACACTGGCAACAATTCGATGCCGCAATATCACAATAACAACAATATAAAACCATAAACAATAACATGAATTATACAGTCATATTTACTTTCATCCAAAGTCCATGGAGGTTTTAGGCTTGATTTATCTGCTACGTGTAACTATTTACAGGTCTTCTCTTCATATACTCACAAACACAATGGGAACTTCACACAACAGGGATGGTGGTGGATTACCTACGCAGACAATTATGGCAAGGCCTCTAACCAATGGCAGATAGCAAGCCGTCCTTCCTGGAAGGTCAGACCCAGGTGGTGGTGCTGGGGGGGGGGGGACTCCTGTTCGACTCCCTGGCCGGGGGTGTCCCTCAGGGTTGAAGGTTCTCCCTCAGGCTATCTAACATTTACATGAAACCGCCGGGAGAGATCATCCAGAGTTTTGGAGTTTGGTGTCAAATTTATGCCGATGACACCCAACTCTATCACTCCTTTCCACCCAAAGCCAAGGATGCCACCCTGCTCCTGAACCAGTGCCTGTCACCAGTGATGGACTGGATGAGAGCTCACAAGTTGAGAGTAAATCCAGACAAAACAGAGGTACTCCTGGTCAGTCGGGAAGCAGATCAGGGTGTGGGATGACAGCCTGTGTTGGATGGAGTCACACTACCCTGAAGACACGGTTCGCAGTCTGGGGGTGATCCTGGACACATTGCTGACCCTGGAACCCCAGGTATTGGGGGTGGCCAGGAAAGCTTTCCCACAATTAAAACTTGTGCGCCAACTGCGCCCATACCTTGAGACGCCCGATTTGGCCATAGTAGTACACATCTTAGTTACAACCTGTCTGGATTACTACAACGCTCTCTACGTGGGGCTGCCTTTGAAGGTAGTACAGAAGCTGCAATTGGTCCAAAGATCTGCAGCCAGGTACTGGAGCACCGTACAGAGAACGGACAACTCCTACATTAGGGCACTGTCTGTTTCTGGGCTAAATACAAATGCTGGTCATTACCCATAAAGCCCTAAACGGTTCAAGACCAAACTATCGACAAAGTTGCATCTCCAAATACAAACCGCCCTGGGCGCTGTGGTTGGCAGAGGAGGCCCTTCTCTCAGTCCCGCCCTCGTCTCAAGCGCGGCTGGTGGGGACGGCAGGGGGGGTCTTTTCCGTGGCCGCTCCCCACCTCTGGAACTCCTTCCTGAAAGTAGTAAACATGGCCTCTTCCCCCTCTCCTTCAGGAATCTCTTAATAACTTGTTTATGAGCTCTAGTTTATGAGGAGGAGGAGGAGGAGGATGAGCACTTTATTCAGTCTATTCTGACTCAGGTAGTGGAATTCTACCTCATCCCTGTTGACTTGCCGCACATCAGCTTACTCCTTTTATATTGAATTTCTCAATCTTATTTGATTTATTATTTAAATGTGTCTTAAATGTTATGTTGTATAAATTTCAATCTTGTTAGTTTGGGTTATTTCATATAGTTTGGGTTGTTTTATATAGTTTGGGATATTTTATACTTATATTTTGATGTTACTCATTTACTGTTTATAATTTGATTGGTTTTGTTATATCTTGCTGGCATTGAATGCTTTCCAATCTTTCTGTTGTAAACCGCCTTTGAGTCCCCTCAGAGATATGGAGTGAGATAACAATAAAGGAATGATTATGATTATTAATATTATTATTATTACAGGAGACTTACTCTAAGCAGGCATTCATATTATTATTACTACTATGTTTATTTACACCCTGCTGTATCTCTCCCGAAGGAGACCCAAAGCGGTTTACAATTAAAAGTATGACCACATAATTTAGAAATACACAAATATTTGCCAAGGTCACAGTCCAATCGTCAGATGTCAGGAATGCATTCACCACAGTTCGTAAAATAACAACCAAGAATGCAAGACTACAAACCGAAGTCAGAATTCAAAATTCAAGACAGAGAGGCAGAGATGCAAACTGAAACTGCGATACAGAGAAAAATCATCCTCTGTGGGAGACTTGAATACAAAATCAGTCAAGCGAGAACACACAAACTGCTGCACTTGACAGATAGAGAGCAAGATGGCAGCCTTCGTTTTTCTGCCCATCGTCCCAATTTTTTGTTTACCTGGGACCCTTGGAAACATACAGGCAGGTCACCTTTAGCTGTGTGTGAGCTCTTTGATGTCTAATGCATTTTCCTTGTGTGGGTCCTTTGATGGATACACAGACTCGAACTGTGACTGAAGCTCTTTCCACACTCCATGCACTTATGGGGCTTCTCTCCTGTGTGGGTCCTTTGATGGGTACGCAGATGTCCACTCTGGCTGAAGCTCTTTCCACATTCCATGCATTTATGTGNGACTGAAGCTCTTTCCACATTCCATGCATTGATGTGGCTTCTCCCCTGTGTGAATCCTTTGATGGGTACGCAGATCTCCACTCTGACTGAAGCTCTTTCCACATTCCATACATTTATGTGGCTTCTCCCCTGTGTGGGTTCTTTGATGGATACGCAGATGTCCACTCTGACTGAAGCTCTTTCCACATTCCATGCATGTATGTGGCTTCTCCCCTGTGTGGATCCTTTGATGGGAACGCAGATTCGCACTGTGACTGAAGTTCTTTCCACATTCAATGCATTTATGCGGCTTCTCCCCTGTGTGGGTCCTTTGATGAGAATGCAGATCTCCACTCTGATTGAAACGCTTTCCACATTCCATGCATTTATGCGGCTTCTCCCCTGTGTGGATCCTTTGATGGGTAAGCAGATTTCCACTATTATTGAAACTCTTTCCGCATTCCATGCATGTATGTGGCTTCTCCCCTGTGTGGATCCTTTGATGATTATGCAGAGTCCCACTTTCACTGAAGCTCTTTCCACATTCAATGCATTTATGTGGCTTCTCTCCTGTGTGGGTCCTTTGATGGATACGCAGATGTCCACTCTGAATAAAGCTCTTTCCACATTCCACACATTTATACGGCTTCTCTCCTGTGTGAGTTCGTTGATGTTTAGTAAGAGAACTTCTCCCAGTGAAACATTTCCCACATTCCATACAGTTATGTCGCTTCTCCCCTGTGTGTGATTTTGACAAGGAATGGAGATTTTCCATTATTTTACATTTATGATTCCAATATTATGCCAGATGGTCACAGATATGTTCTCCTGATTGCCTCTTCTCAGTCCTTGTATTGCTCTATTCAATTTGTATAATTAGATTACCAAGCCCCACTGTTTACAGCACAATCCTCCCTTTCCTCCTTGAATACACAGGCATGTAGCTTGAAATATAATAGCTCCAACTTATTGCTTGTGAATGATGCGTATTTTCATTCCTGCCCTAAGACAAAGGCAAGGGTTCTTCTCAAGGTTCATTCAGAGGTTACCTGCCAGAGAAATGAGAGGAAAATCTTATCAGGAGCAGAGCACAGAAATATCTCATTGAACAATAAGAACAATAGCTTAGTGCTGTAGCCCAGTTTTATTGTGTCTTAGTGAATTGTTTATTGCTTGTTGTTTATATTGCTTTAATTGTTTTTAATTTGCCTTAGGTTTTGTATTGTTAAATTGTGTGTTGAGGCATTGGCCTTTGTAAGCCGCATCCAGTCCTTCGGGAGATGCTAGCGGGGTACAAATAAAGTTTAATAATAATAATAATAATAATAATAATAGCAAATGCAGGAGAAGGGAGAAAGAGCAGTCTGATTGAGAAGAGCCTTTGCCTGCTGAGAAGTACTTTAACACTTGCCCAACAAAAGCAAGCCCTGCAAAGGGGAGAGTGGCCCAGGATTCTCTGTATGAGATTGTTTGCACTGCAGTGTGTTCAGAGTGTCATCCAATCTTTGTAAAGAAAGGCTTCTAACAATAGGCCGTAGGATCCAGGGCCAGGCCGCTCTCACCTGGGTTCTCTATGGAAGTGGTGGGAGGGAAGGAGGGAGGGAAGGAGGTGCAGGGAAGCCACCCTAGGCTCGGAGGGCAGAGCAGGCAAAGGAGGAGGAGGCGGCGGCGGCGGCATTTCTGGGCAGGCCTGTGAGCAGAGGCCTGTGAGCCCGAGCCAAGAAAGAGGGGTCGCGCAATCCAAGGGCGGAGAGGAGGAGGGGGCCCCAGAGCCTCGAGTGCTTAGTCAGAATTTTGTTGGCAAGATAGTTCGTAGGAATGGAAGACGAGCCGAACGCGGGTCAGAAAGGGGAGGGGGGAAAGAAAGGGGGCGATACGGCCAGGTTGAGCTCTTGTTCCGATCTCACCTGCATTATTCAGGGGGAGAAACATAAGCAAATAGTAGGGAAAACCTGGGAAGGTAGGCATATACATGAGGTTCCCTGGGGATGTGGAGAAACCCACGCAAGGGATCAGTGCATCTGAGGGGCCCTTAGGGGTCCTCAGGTTCAGCCTAGAAAAGGACGGTTGGGACCAGGGCTATGGGAATAGATAGGCAATTGTGGACTAGGAAGTTAGTGAGGAAAAAGAGTAGGGAATAAAGGGTCTACCAGGAGAACCAGAACTCCTAGGGATAAATGGCAGGGGTGGGAGGTGTAAAGGGGCCAGGGCACCCAGGGTTGTGGATACGGAGGGAGGTACAATGGGCCTCCGTATCCGTGGTTTAAAGGGAGGCAGCCCCTGACTCCTGGAAAAGTCAGGATTTCACTTTATATGTTATTTTATGGCTTATTGTGGCTGGATGGGGGTCTGTGCTGCCTTTTCCTGGGTCTTGTCAGCTGGCGAGAACCCGCAAGTGGTTTGAATTTTGTGGTGACAAATGACAGAGACCAAGGGAAAAGATAGAAAAGTTGAGCTTCTTTTGTTTATTTTATTAGAGTTAGACTAGAGATGTGTTAAGGAGTCCTCTCGGAGGTTGCTGGATGCTGCTGGGGCCACCTCTGGAGTGGACAGCCACCTTCGGTGACTGGAATGTGGAGGGACCTGCAGAACTCCCTGCTGCAGGTCTCGATCGGTGTGCTGGGGTAAAATAAAAGAGAGCGTCCCTTTCTAGTTCGATATCATTGTCACTAAACCCTCCTTGATCGAATCGCCGGCATTTTTCTGGCCTGTCCTTATGGGTGCCATAAATACCTCCCTGCTTTAACGCAGTACCTATCTATCTACTCACATTTTGCTTTCAAACTGCTAGGTAGGCAGAAGCTGGGCTAAAGGCCCTGACCCTGCCTTCACATTGTCAACCTTCCAAGATTTATTGCAGCTGGTGGTTTAAGAAATAAAAATGGCCCCCTCTCTCCTCTTCTTCAAGATACTTCTATAAACCCATCTCTGCACTTTACCCTGTGGAGAGGAGGATGAGGAGGTGGTGGTGGAGGATGAGGAGGTGGTGGTGGAGGAGGAGGTGGTGGTGGTGGAGGAGGTGGTGGTGGATGAGGANTAACATATTGCATACAGACAGGAATCTCTAACCGATATAGACAAAGAGATAACCCAGAAAACAGGAAGGAAGTAAGTAAGTAAGTAAGTAAGGAAGGAAGGAAGGAAGGAAGAGGAGGAGAAACAAGAATGAATGGGAAAGCGTGCTTTTTGAAACAGAAGATAAAAGTGCCGTTCTTCTTGTGACGAAAGAGGCCCAGTCTCAGTGCCATCTTGATTTGTCATTTTTTGGATCAGAGAGAAAAGAGGAAGGAAAGGAGGGATTTCAGCGTGGCCTTGGATCCAAGAGAAGTCAGCACCGCTCACTGATTTATCAAACATCCTCCCGAAGGATTGCCAAATATAGGAGCTTGTTTGCAAAATACATTTATTTGAAAACTTACCAAAATACAACATCGATGGGATAAAAGCGCTTAAAGAAGAAATCCAGCATTCAGTTGAAACCTCCTAAAATGGAGAAAGGAAGACAACGTAAGAAGATGTTGGCTGAAGGTACAGAAGTGATGAAACCACTGGAAATTCTGGATGGATTAATCCCTAGTGCCAATGGCAAGCTGGATCAACTAAAGGCCATTTTGAAGAGATCTCTAGTGGCCCCCAAAGAAGGAGAATGGAAACTGGGAAAAGCAGGATGAGAAGGGGGAGCCAAGCAAGAAGGAAAAATGGAAGGAGAAATGGAAGGTAAACAAAGGGTCACAAAGAAGGAATCCAGAGGGAACCATGACGGAATGGACGCCTGGCCGAAGTCCAGCTGGAACAAGAGAGGCCTCCAGTCAAGGCGCGAGAGGCCTGCCATTTCCTGCCCTGAAACAGGGGACCGGTCAGTCCATTCAGGAGAATCTCTCGCTCAGCTCTGGGCTTCTGACTCACCGGCCTGAGAGAGGTCGGGAAAAGGACCAGATCTCTTTGGAGGAGGGGAAGGTTGGGCATGAATGATTCCGTCCACTGACCCAGTACCAAAATTGAATAGAGCTGTTTGTTGTTGTTGTTGTTGTTACATTTCTACCCTGCCGTACCTTCCCGC